ATTTATGTATCCGAACTAGGACGTCGTTCAACCTGTTTTGGACCGTGTAAAGACCATCCGAAGGTAACTGTAGTTTAGGAAAAAGTCCTTTTCGTCGATTTGGATTCCAATACCTTGTCACCTTCGTTAAATCGATGTCCTTTAGCTCTCGTGTCGTATCGAGTCTTCAACTTTTCCGTCGCGAAGATGACTCACTCTCGTGCAAAACTGTGCATCTTTTCAAACCGTATCTGGGAGATCTTAGATGTCTCCTCAGGCGATGAAGGCGCATCCGGAGGGCAACCAAACAAGAGATCACAAGGTAGAAGGTTACAGCGAAAGACCATCTGGGATGATAAATAGCCGGTAGTCTCGTGGATAGCACTGCAATAGGCCAATAAAAAAAGGGATAACTTCTGGTTCCAGTCGTGGTAATTTCTGGAAACCATCAGCGAGAGGTTATTAAGGAAGTTTCGATTAAACCTAACATGCATTCTGACAGGGGATGTAAGAGTATAGTTTGGATTCTGAAGATGGCGAGTAGTTTGCAGAGATCTTTAATTACGACCGAGGTAAAATTTCTTTCTTGATCGTAAATGTAGCTGAAGAGGCACACTAGACCGGGAAATGCAATGCTGCCATCAATACCTCTGCTGCCGAGACAGCCTCTTTATCAGGGATAAGATGCGCTTCATGCCACTTGGTGAAGTAATCAGTGACAACGAGGATGAATGTGTTTCCATCAGCAGTTCGTGGCAGAGGTTTCAGGATGTCAAAGGAGGAAGCGGTTCAAAAGGCGCTCCTACATTGTAACGTTGCAACTATCCTCGGCTGCGTTTCTTCTGTCCTTTCCGATTGGCACAGACTGGCACCACTTTTGGATGTCAGCCCTTGCATTGCTCCAGTAGGAGCGCTCTCGAACTCTATGCAAAGTCTTCACTATTCCGAAGTGGCCTCCAGTCAGGCTGCTATGTAATTCTTTAAAGACGTCTGAGATCTCGAATATATCAACTGCTATCGGAATGCCTTTCCATTATCCGTTTCGAACTTACGGTACAAGACATGGTTTCGACCAAATGGTCTTTCCTAACTTCTTAGTCACTCCATGCGTCTGGTTTAGACGATGTTGAAGTTGTAATATGAAGTATGACGGATTAACCAGCTCGTAATTTGCTTCGATCCTGGAACAATATCTGCAATTTTTGGCCAGGGCGTCGGCGTTTCCGTGAGACGATCCTTTTTTATGACGAATTGTTATGTAATATACATTAAGTTTCTGCATAAATCTGCCCAGGCAGCACGTCTCCAAAAATATACGTATAATTTTGGTGAAATAAGGGTATGGTATTTTTTGCACGTTACTTTTACGAAATTTATACGAATGAAAAAGGCTGAAGTTACTGTTGACTCTTGATCGTTATTTTCCACACGTTATTTTTACGAAAATTATACGAATCCGAATGTACTGATAAAAAACTACCGCCATAATGGTATATTTTATTCGTCACTTTTACGCATATTATACGAATCCGAATGTTCTGAAAGAAACTACTGCCTTTATGGTATATTTCATTCGTCACTTTTACGGATATTATACGAAGTCTAAAAAGATTGAAAATGAAGTTTATTAATTCAAAATATTTAGTGTATTTCTGGCATTTCACTTTGTTTTCCTTGTCCACGAACATGAAAAAAGGGGCATTCATATATGAGGCTAAAATTTTTCTATAAATTTTAACATGTGAGCTAAATCTTTACGTGCATTTTTGCAAAAAATTATATTTTCTTAATTCAAACATCTTCAAAATAACTTATTTATTTTCTTATATCAAATTTGTTATTTTTATTCATATGAACACTTACATTAATTTACACAATTTAATTTCTTTTATGAAAATCCTATTACCCATTTAACTGGAATAAGCTGTATATTAAATTTGTGTACTTACTGAGTTTGGTACAATACTCGCCTTATTTTATTTAGCAAATGTGGGCAATTAAATTGGAATAAGACTAGCAAATCTTTCATGTCGAGGAATAGAATAATAAATACAGCAGAAGATGCTCGAAAACGTTTAACTTCTTGACGTTTAACTTACGTTTAACTTAACGTTTAACTTACTGTAGACCAAAGGATCATTAATTATAATCAAAGATATACTAATATTTTTATTTAATAATAATAATAATAACTCTACGAAATTGCAAGCTGAATCCTGATATTTTACATATATTTCAGTTCCTTTAATCTTTGTTATAAAAATCATATGAAGCTAATTTTTTTTATTTTGTTTAATGTACGGAAAAAATGATATAGCGATTTTAATAATTTTTATATGAGGAAAAAATTAATAAATAATGTAAATAAATAATTATATTATATTTTATATTTTCCTGAAACAGTTAAAGACATTCTTAATATGGAGATCTACAGAATAAGTACAAGGGTCCAGTTAAATGAACTTAAAATTTGCATAGTTCATTTTACGCTAACTTATAAAAATTAACCGGATTTACGATTATACACTGAGCATGCGCATACACGGACATTTCTATTTTTCGTACAAAAATTTAATTATTATCTTAATACAGAGATGTTGTGAATATAAATTTATATAATGCAAAAGTAAGTTTATTTCATATGCTAATTTAGAGGCTTTCTTAATATATTTAATTATAAAGAAAAAAAAAAGCGTTGCAATTCTTGTTCACTGACCAATGGAAAAGCAGACACTTTCTACTTCCGGTTGTGGCGGGATATTTGTGAAGTCAGCACTCAGCAATGGCGGTCGAAAAGAATGGTAAAGTCGCAAAGAATATTGTTTGTTCGTGGATTGGCGTTTGTGACTGAATCCATCGAAGTTATATTTGAAGAAAGTAAGTGAATATTTTATAGGGTTTTCATCCGCAGAGAACCCGTTGGCGCTTCGGGAAAGAACCCGTTGGCGCCGTTGCATTTTTACTCGCCAAGCTCGCGGTTCATCGGCGATGAGCCGAGCCGCAAACGTGATATTTTGTAAACGTGATTTTTAGTGCATGTAAATTCAAGTTAGCAGACAAAACAATATATTAAGCATATGGTAGTAGAAATTCACAGATAATAAGCATGTAGATGTAAAACTAACCTGTTAAACGTGATATACGAAAATTATATTAAATTCAATTTAGCACAGAAAAGAATATATTAAGTATATGACAATATATAAGCATTTATAACGGAAATAAAAATTCATTTGAAAAATATAAATTAGTATTAATGTACTGAAATTAACCTGTTAAACGTGATAAACAAAAACAAACAAAAAAAAATTGTTTTAAATTCCAGTTAACACAGAAAACAATATATTCCTTACACCAGCAGTGGTTTGCAAATTTTGATGACCATGGTGATGCATCAAACTATTCTGTCATGTTAGATAAAGAATAATCTTTTTTATTTCAACTCAATCATCTATTTATGTCACTCTTGCCATCCTCTGAAAGGTTAATGTTAGAAAAGCATTAACAATATATTACCTTGTTAAAATTTTACGCCAGAAAATTGATTTATTCTCATAATTTTAGATGACAATAGCCAATAATAAAAATAAAAGCATTACTTAGTAATTTAAATTGCTGGTTCTTAGAGCTGTTAAAAGAACACAACGTGAACAGCCGTGTTACAAATTAGCTTCACCCCTCCCGCCGTATTTTCTTCCTTTCATCACGAACCGAGAACCGGCATCTATCTACGAAAATATTTCTATCTATTCGTTGTTAAAAAATTCAGAAAAAATAATAATAAGTAAGAGAATAATAATATAAATCTGCAAATGCGAACAACGACAGTGATAATTCAACAAAATGAACGCAAGAGGAATGGTTGCAAACTTCGAACAAGCGAATAGGATAAATCCGCTGGGTTACCAGATTTGAACTATTATCGCCAAAGTTGGCGATGTTTACATTTACCGGGTTCTCTGTGGAAGTGCTTCCATTTTATATTTTCAGTGTTTAATACTCGTACTTTTTTCACCTATACAAAATTTTATAAATAGCGTCCGTGTAGGAAATGTGATTTTCCATGTGTTGTTCTTTTGTGTACGTGCCTAATGATTCATTTTCAGGATTTGGTACTGTTAAATTTTGCACTAGTCTGTTTCTTACTGTTTGTGTCACTCCTTTTTGTATGTGTCTCACCTTTTTATAGTTATATTATTTTTACTCAAACGTTTTAATATTTATCTTAAAGCATACTGTAATTAAGCAGGAAATAGCTTTTAATGGAAAAAGAAAGGCAATATTAACATGACTAATTGTTCTTAAATCTGTTATGGAAATGTTAATTTTTTTATTTGCTTAGTGTTTTCCCTAAAAATAATTTAATTTCTTATTTTTGAATTTAGTTTTATAAATTTGCTTTAATATATAATCTTTAACTCAAAGATATTGTGCTATTAAAAAAGGAAATTTTATGCCATAGAAACACAGGTACTTTGTTCCAAATCTGTGTTAATTTTTTTATATATATATACTGAATTTTTATGCACTTGTAATTACTGAAATATATCCTTTCATGAATAATAAGTAAGTCCTAAGTCCTTTCATGAATGCATTTCTTTTTTGTGTTTTAAAAGATCTGCCATAGTTAAAGAAAGAAAATAAAGTAAGAATGCTTTACTTTCAGTTTTGAATAAATTTATTACTATTTACTGCAGCTTCAAGTTTCTCTAAACATAATTTTCGAAGTCAAAACTTGATAGTTATGTTGATTATTAGACTTGCATGAAAAAATTTATTGAAAAATTAGTATTTGATCTAAAATACCTTAAATTATTTGAATTATATTTTACTAAATCATGTATTTTGATATAACTAGATAGTTAAAAAAATTAAAATTGTAAATGTGCAGAAATGCTTATATAAAACCAAGAAATTGTTTATATTTTTGTTGCTTTTTTCCTTGTAAATTAATTATATATATATATTACAGTCTGGGGAGTCAGCACCCTGCTGAATTGTAGTAAACGAGACGTCCAATCTACTAGACCATCAAAGATGCAGATTTGGATTTTCTATTTCATAGTTATTGAAATCATAATGGTATGTTTGTTTAAATTAGTACTGTTTATGAATGTGATAAAAATAAATTCTGATAAGCTAAGAAATGATTTATTTTCTATTAATTATGAACTGTAAATAATGTAACCAATTTTCTTCATAGTATTTACTAAACATTTTTTTTTTAAAGAAGGGAGGTAGTCTTATTTATACAATTCTTGCAGAGATACCAAGAAATAAAACATTTCAGGAATTTTCACTCAGTATATCTTGATGTGTAAAATCGTGTTGTTCAATGCCATATTACTTTTTCACAGGAAAGTAATTTTATTGATCTAACATCTGCATAAATCAAACTTTTTTAAGAATGATTACAGTTTCTAAGCTAACTTAAAATTTTCAGATTTAGAAAATGTATGTTTAATGTAGCATTAGTTTTCCATGGAATAGAAAAGGTTTTCAAAATGTTCAGTTGTTAGAGGGAAATAATATAAATGAGATTGTCCTGATACAGTTTCAGCTGGAAATGAAACTGAATTTTCGGATAGTGAAGATTTCATTTAAGAATTCTAATAAAACTGATTAATGCAAATCCTCTGCATTTAAAAATTCTAATAAAACTGATTAATGTAAATCCTCTGCATTTAAAAATTCTAATAAAACTGATTAATGTAAATCCTCTGCATTTAAGAATTCTAATAAAACTGATTAATGTAAATCCTCTGCATTTAAGAATTCTAATAAAACTGATTAATGTAAATCCTATGATTCATGTAGGTATTCTTCTGTTATCAGGACCAGATTCAGAAATGTGTGTTTATATGCATGCATTTTTAAATGTAGGTGTTTAACCTACATTTACATTTTTAAACGTGTGTGCATGTGTATTTTGTTTGTATGTGTATACTTATACACATATATGCGCATACATGCATATACACATGCTTACATATCTACAGTGGAACCCCGAGATACGAGTTTAATTCGTTCCAGCATTCAACTGGTATAGCGAATTTCTCGTATCTAGAAACAAGCTTCCCCATTGAAAATAATGGAAATTCAGTTAACCCATTCCACACCCCAAAAAATATCAATATTTTAATATCAAGTCAATTTTTCCTAATAAATAACACTGGTAAATAATATAACAATAGTTTAACTTTGTTACCAACATTTTAACTCCTTCTCATTAATCCACACCAACAACAGCTTCTCAACATCTAGGAGTACTTTTATGGTGCTTGGAAGCAACGATAATTCCTTTGGCTACATCAGGTTTCTTAATTTCTTCCTGCTTCTTCAGAATAGTATAGATTTTCGATGTTGAAAGGCCGCAAGTCTTCGCCAATTCCGTCACCATGCTTATGTTTATCTATGATTTCTTTCTTGATATCGACGGCCATGGCCTCCTTATTTTTCTTTGCAGCACTATCTGAGGCAACAATCTTCTTGCGAGGCATCTTGAAATAATTATTTTCACGTTAAATGTCAAAACAATTAACTTACAAGTGCACAAACACGTATATAAAAGAACACTGAGTGATCTGACGAGGGGATTCCCCGAGTTGAGCCAAGTAGGGAAATGGCGCCACCCGTACCAACAGCCTGGCTCATTGCTCGTTACTCGAATTAATGCTCGTATTTTGCTCATACTTTCCTCGTATCTCGAGGTTTCATTGTACATTTCTGAATCCCGTCCTAATAACAGAGGAGTACCTTTGCCAGTATTGCAACAGAGCTAGAATGAATTATTGTGTTAAATATGTGGAAAATGCATGCTTAAAGTACTGTTATTTTCTAAAAATATTCTGTATGTCTATTTTTTACAAGAAGAAAAAATAGCTAAAAGCTGTTAATTTACTCGTATTTATTAGTCCAAAGGGGCTTTGTCCCTAAAGAACTATTGTTTTTGTTTTGCATTGGTTCACTATAAATATCTGTTTCACTTTTCAAACTGTTCCTACCAAATGTTAGAGTCCCTAGTGTGGGATTAATACTCTCTATCTTATCTCTATCCCTTTATAACCTATGTTAGGGTTAACCTGTATAACCTACAAGGATTGCCAGTTTAGGTGAGATATCTAGGTAGTCATCATAATACGTACCTTATTTTTTATTATTTTTAAATTAAATTGAAAGTAATAAACTAGTTTTCAAGAATGGAGTTAAACTAGATTTGCATTCAACTCTGGTTTATTGTGTTAATGATGTTTTGCTGTAACAAATATGAATTTTTTGTTTAAGTATAATAATTTAAAATGTTTTTTCTAGAGAATGTATGCATTGCTTGCATACATTCTCTAGAAAGTATTCTGAAGTACTGCCACTAAGGTAAAGGTGCTAACTTGCAAGGTAATTTTCTATTCTACATTAACTCAATCTTTATGTCCTGTTACAGATATATTGGCAGAAATAATGAAAACCTGACATTCAAAAAGAAAAATAATAACATTGAATGTAGTATATTAGATGGTTAACTGCGGTTTGGCAGCTCATTAATAATCTTACACATATTGAGTACGAATAACTTTGACAATTACCGGTATTTTCAATAGTATAAAATTAGGCAAGAAAGCAGCTTTAGCTTAGCACCGATTTTAAATACAACTCTCTTACCAATATTGGTTTGACGAAGGTAAAATATAATTGAATTTAATAAGTTGGAAATACTGTCTGTCTTTCCATGAGTTAAAAAAATAATTTCAAATAAAATTTCTTTTTTCAGTTTTTCATGTTATTTGTTTAATGTTATTGTAATCTGATTTATCATATTTAGTCACATATTCCATCCCTCTTTGCACTATAGTATATAATTCAAAGGACTTATCAGTTTCAGCAATATTTTTTTTACCAGTATACATTTTTACCATAACTCTGTTTCTAAATCATATCCTGAAAAATTAAGGAGTAAAGTACACAAAGAAGGAAAATATGCAAGTAAATAATGGCATTTAGTGTTGTTTATGTGTCTAATATTTGTACTAGATTGTAAAAGTTATAAAATTCTATTAGCTTTTTTAAATTATTCTTTTTTAAATTGAGATGCTTCTTTGCACCCAAATGGTTAAAGCCCTAGTGTGACTTTGGTACTTTGATCTAACTTCTATTCCTAATAAATAATCCAGCTGCATACAGTTTACTCAATTTCTGCCATGTGTAAGGTAAACAATATTAGCTTTTTTAAATATATCTTTTACAACTATTCCATCAGGTAGATTTCTTTCATATTTTGCCTTAATTGAGTCATCCTGCTAATTAAGAATTTATTAAAGTTAATATGTTAAGTTTTTGTGTGTATAATTCATTTTAAGTATGTGCAAGCAAATGCATACATTAACAGTTACGTAGAATTATGTTTTGGGTATCAAATTCAGAAATTTTGGGGCTGTTTTTAGAAGATTTATTAATGATTTATACTATATTAATATTGGTAAAAAAATTCTGTGGCTTTTATATGAGAGTATATATTTTAAAATAGCTGCATGATATGGTAGAGGTAAAAAGCTTCATGTGGATCATAAATTAATATTATGTGGGAATTTTTCATTTATTTAATAAAGAAAATATTCAAGCCACAATTAAAATTTTTTCACTGGATTATTTGCATACAAAGTTTGCAGCAAATATTTCCTGCAACAGAAGTGACAATTTTTATTTTGCCAAGACAGGAAATTTAGTTAGTGTAAAGCAGTAACTCCTATTTTGAGATGTTAAACAGGAAGGCAAATTTTTGAATTTAAATTGATTTTTGAAGGAAGACTTCATTTAGTCTTGCTATCATTCTACGTGGCTCTTAACTTTTTTATGGTATTTATAATTTTATTGTTATTCAGCTTTCTGTTTGCTTAGAATGCACATGAATGTAGACTTGAAATATTTTATATTGCAAACTGAGATGCCATTGTTATCATAATTAAAGATTTTTGTTCTCTGATTTTGGAGGAATTTACTGATAATACTTTTGATTGTGTATTGGTTTCTGGTTTATTGAAATGTGTAAAATAGCCTGTTAATGCATATACGTATGTTAATGACATGTATATGTTTATGAAGTATTCTGTTATATGTATATAGTGTTGTGATTAGTTTTCTGCTTACTCTTTATTTAAGAAAAAGTTATCTGTAAGAAAGCGAATATTCTTTACTATATGTAGGAGTAAAATTGAAAAGGCTAATGCAATATAATTAATACAAAATTAAGTTTTTTCTCATGTACTTAAATACAAACATAGCCATTAAAGACTTTCTCAACCTTGCAGTTCTAAACAAATCTTAAGTATTTTTTACTTGAAATTATAGGCATTGTGTAAGGTATATAATTGAAGCTTACTGTGTGATAGTATGAAATTAAATTTTTAATTACTGAAATGTAAATTTTTAAATATGAAATACTCAGTGCATTTTATATGCATCTTTTAATACTTCAACTATATTTAAAAACTGAAAACCATCTGAAGTGTGAAATTATTACAAATTTTTCTTTTTCTTGTTTAGGAGCTGTTCTCAAAACATTGGGTGACAAAGAATTCACTTTTACAAAAATCGAGCAGGATATTAAAGACAGCGAACTATAGAACAAATATGGCGAAGCTGCATGAAGTCTATGTTGAATTTTATTATTGAAAAAAAATATGCTCTTCAGATTTAATGTTAGTTTTTATTGTTTAACAGTAATTGCAGTTTTCGAATACCTGTAAAATAAACCTAATTCTTAAATTAATTTCATGTGTATTTCTTTTGCAAGTATTACAGTTCATAATACTTCAAACAACTTGAAATTTTATACTTGTTAATTTATGTGGGATATGTTCATAATAATTTTATAATTTAAATAACTCATTGTCATCATATGAGCATAATCTAAAATGCACAGCATTTGACAACAAATTAATAAAAAATTAGCCAACTTCTAATTGCTTTCTTTTGTCCAGTTGCCTCTTTTTAAATCATTTAATACCATAAAGCTATTTGATGAAAAAAAAAATAATTGGTATGTCCACATCAACATGTACATTTATAATGATGTTATAGAAAAAGTCACATGAGATAAATATTTAAAAAAACTTCAATATTCCTAAACAAATTAACAGTTTAAAATTTTATCTGGTATATAAATTATTATAGATTTTTTAAATTTTATCTGATATAAGATAAAATAAAGAACATATTTAGGTAATTTTGAATTTGCATAATTTTATGAACTTATTTATGAAATTAACAGTTACATTGTAAAAGGGAACTTTTTAAAAAATACCTCAATAAAGCATTTCTTTTGTAGAGGTGAACTTTTAGTTAGTACTGATCTAATATATTTATAAGATTTTAAACTGAGAAAGACAACAATAATAGATTACAATACATTGCAAGATTGACTGATAAATGTAAAATTTTTACATATCATAATTATGTGTGTAATTAAAACAGAAGTTACTCGATTAACTTGCATGCAAATTAATATTTTCTTTAACATGTTTGGGATAAACTGAATTTTAATAAATAAATATGTATAGATTTGTGTATTATCTGAAGATATGAATGAAATATTTGTGACATTAAACATTCATCTTCAAGGAAAATAACAAAGTCAACTTGGTAAACTATTGGAAAAGGTAAGTTTTCTACAATTTCCTGGTCTATATTTAACAATTTTAAAATTTAGCACACTCATTCAAATAATCTAAACATATGATGTTTTCTTTTGTGCTACATTCGTTTACTGAATTTGTTAATTAACTATATTGTACTTTAGATAGAAATTAACGTAGATATTCCCTGTATTTTACGGTACAAATACTTATATATTTGATAATAATTGACCTAAATCTTCCCTATGTTTTCTTTGCATATACGAATGACTTTGGTAAAAATTTAGTCCGATGTCTTCTCCTCTTTACTGTGTATACATTAACAGTTACGCACATTTTTGGTAAAAAATTTGCATAAATCTCCAATTACCTATTTACTGCATTTTTCGTAAAATGTGCTTATTTTAATCTCTTATTTTTTATATAAATGTATGCAAAAATGTTCTGCATATTATGATTAAAAGATAAAATTAATTTAATATCAAATTTTTACATATCCACCTTTTAGGTATGTACAGCAATATGGAATATATATAACTGGAAAATTTAAATGCAAAAAAATTAATTTCTATTCAAAAATTACATAACACTAAAAGGCTGAAAATCACTTTTAATATTTCATTTCAAAGTGATGACTACAAAATATGCAATAAATTTTGTAAACCTGAGTTCTATGTTTTAAATCAATTAATGCTATCATTCATTTACATGGCATAAGAAAATGTCCTTCAGAAAAGCAAATAATTTATTTAAAGTGTTATTTAGTAATGATGAATTTAGTAAACAACTGTTTGCTACAGTTTTTTACTAAATTTAAATTTATGAAATGAATTTAGTAAACAAAAATGCAAATGAACGATAGCATTAATTGATTTAAAACACAGAATTGATGTTTACGAAATTTATTGCATATTTTGTAGCCACTTTGAAATGAAATATTAAAAGTCATTTTCAGCCTTTAAGTGTTACGTAATTTTTTAATGGAATTTTATTTTATTTTTTTTTTTTGCATTTAAATTTTCCAGTTATATATATTCTATATTGCTGTACATAACTAAAAGGCAGATATGTAAGAATTTGATATAAAAATTATTTTACCTTTTAATCATAGCATACAGAAAGTTTTTGCATAGACTTATATAAAAAATATGAGATTAAAATAAGTACATTTTATGAAAAATGCAGTGAAAAGGTAATTGGAGATTTATGCAAATTTTTTACCAAAAAATGTGCATTTATACACAGTAAAGTGGGGAATACATCGGATTAAATTTTTACCAGTCATTCGCATATGCAAAGAAAACATAGGGAAGATTTAGGTCAATTACTATCAAATATATACGTTTTGTACCGTAAATTACGGGAAATATGTACGTTAATTTCTATCAAATATATACGTATTTGTACCGTAAAATACGGGGAATACCTACCGTAATTTTTACCTAATATATACGTTTATATACAGTAAAAAAGCGGGGAAATTTACGTAAATTTTTACTAAATATATACGCATACGTGAAGCAAAAAATTGAGATTTACGTATATGCGATAAATATACGTAAATTTTTACTAAAAATATACGTAAATCCCTGAAATTTACGTATATTATACGTAAAAGTTGCGAATGAACAGTAGTCTCTCGCGTAAATATACCTAAATTTTACGTAAAAGTTACGTATAGTATAACGTAAAAATATACGTAAATATTTAGTAATTGCCACTGGACACTTTTTATGATATTTTTACGTTCAACTTGAACGTTTTTTATACGAAAGGCCATTCGTAAATTGCACGTATTTTTCTCGTGCAATTTACGAATGCATGCTGCCTGGGTGGTTACTTGGCTTTTGGAATTTTTGAAATTTAATAGACAAATCAAAGATGCATGATCTCTACGGAGCAGCAACTTTCTGCTGTAAAGGCAATGACGGAAATGGTCAACGGCCTTTAACTATGGCGAGCTCCTCTTTTCTGGTGACCTAGTAATTCTTCTCCGGTTTACATAGACACTTGCTCCAATGCTACGATATATTTTTGATCGTTTGTTTCTGGGAATTAAACAACACCGGCAATCTCATTGCTCTCATCTGTGTCAAGAAAAAAGGGTTTGTCGAACTGAGAATATGTCAGGATTGTCGCGGATATTAAAGCTTCCTTCAGTTCGTTAAATGTTTCCTCACATTCGTTTGTCCACAAGAACGTTTTCTTGCTCTCTGTCAGCTTGTGAAGGGGTTCTTGCGATGGATGAAAAGTTTTTTACAAATTTCCTATAGGATTTTAATTTAGGACTTTATTATTTTAATCTACATCCTGACACGTCTGGGAAAGCGTGATGATGTCCGAAACAATTCGGATGAAAGCTTCTGTTAGAAGTGTTGAACGTGACACATACCGCTCACATACTTACATACTGTGACACATATATACATAAAGCTACTTCTCACCGAGTCTTACATAAAGTTATCGAGATACCGATTATTCAAAAGTAGAAGAACGTCCCTGAAGGAGTGGGCTATCTGTCAACTTCGAATCACAGAAAGCAATGAGAACCAAATAGTGCTATTCCTAACATGTTATCGTTTTCTTAACATGTTACCGTTGCCTTTATCCTAGATTTAAAATTGTCGCTCAAGTTTACGCAGATTGAAGAAAACACACTGCGAAAGTTGAACTATCTTGTTACTTCAACTTGAGATTGCCTTGCTTCCAATCTTTCAATTACTTTCCAGCTTGAATAAGTCTTATACACGATGGTGATAATTCCTTTCCGCAGATAATTACGATTTTAGCAGGCAGTAAATATTTACATATGTAGCTTGCTTTGTAGCTGGATAATGACTTAATTTGAAGGCTTCGGTGAGAGTTAGACTAGTTTAATTGAATATTTAAAATGTGATTCTCTTCCTCAACAGTTTCATATTCACATATTCATAAGTCTTTATCCTGTTTTATAAATTTAACTTTGGACACCAATACAGATTCTATCACTCCAAATTTCGAACGAAGGCTTGAAAGGTAGTTTGCAGTGGTCAAATGATGAAAAAATAAATTAAAAAATATTAAATAATAAGTATCCCTAAGCATAAATAATAAGCATAGTCTATCAGTAATCTATCAGTAGATAGCCAGTTCGTGATTTTATGTCATCTACATGCGTGATTTTATGGCATCTGCGTAATACATCTTCAAAACTGGAGTACATAAAAGTATTTAACTAAATTCGTCTTAAAATTATCAGAAGTTTAGGTTTTCCTTTTAAAGGTTATAGGTTTTCCCTTTTTAAAAATTCTATGGATTATGGAATCTAGGAAAAGTGTTGTGAAAAAATAGTAAATATTTTTCGCCTACAATAATTTCACACCTTTTTTACAATTTCTACTTCTTAACTGTTTAGCAATGAAATGAATGAAAAACTTGGACCTATTTATTTAAAAAAAAATTTTAAGACTATGGTTGACAACTAAAAACACATAAAATTCTGATTATACATTGCGTATCCAAAGTATCATTCTCCCAGACCCAAAGTCTCGTTGTAGGAAAGACAGATGATGAGGCAAATTATGTTAATATTAATACTCCATTTTAGTTTTAGATAAGTTAAACTTTTAAATTTAATAGAGTTTGTGTTGACATTATAACGTATGAATTAAGTAAAAAATAATTGTTTTTCAGTGCACACCAATTATGTTTTGGAATATTGTTAACAGCACCTATAATTACGACCGTATTAATTAAAGATTTTTATGTCTGTGTTTACGAAACCATTACTTTCCTCAAGAACTTATTGTTATAGTCAATTACGAAAATGATATTAAATGTTCGCTATTAATTCCTTCGTACTGAATGTTACGTCCATATCAATTTCATCATTATCTCTATATCAGAGCCGTTTTTTAAACATTAGCACGCATTCTAAGTAATAACAAAGACTGTTAGGGTTAACTGTCAGTTCGAAATGTTGGATATGAGCGAGATTGGCGCAAACGCAAGCAAATCTTAGTGCCAAAATGTCAAATCAAGTCAAAGCTAAAGACTTTCAAGGCATATATTACTATTAAAATGCCAAACTTAAAGGAATTTTCAAGGCCACCGCTTTCTTCTAGATAGGCTGGTGTTACCCATGATACTAACTGTTCCGTTTGCATTTAAACTAATTATTATAAAGCAAAGTACTTAACAGAAGTGCTAAAATATTTCAGAAAAGGAAAATATTACTTCACCTTTCCGATTTAGCTGATCTATAATTGTATAAATTGTCTGAAGTGTCTAGAATGTAACAAAATTGACAAAGTTTAAAGTTAATTAACAAAATTATGTAACAAATTGAGAAACATATAAATATATTGTAAAAGACCAGATGTTTAAAATTCAAAGATGCTTAAAATTCAGACGCTTTAGATCAAGGATACTAATGATTTACTTGAAGCTTTCTTTAGTAAAAACATTAATATTTGAAGGACCTTTCATTATTTCACACAATATTAATTCCGAGGTAAGCAAATCTGCTTGTATTAGTCATTTAGTACAGTGAATGAATTAAGAAACACTCGGAGTCATCACCGAAGAATCACAGGCACAGCACATCCTGGGATCCCGTTTACCAGAATGAAATGTTCCGATTTGATCTGTTCATTATCCTTTGCTTCTGGATCTCGTCTCCTGCTTTTGACAGGAATAACGATATTTCGCACACTATGCGAAAGTCAGATGGCTTTTCCAGAAAGTGAATTCAGAATGGCGAAATGCATGATAGTTAGATTATTTTTTTATTGCAGTAGATTTTGATAAGGATCATTGAGTTTTATTGTTTTATAGATTACCTCAAATACTGTTGCTTACAATTTTGCGCTTTTTAGCAAGAGCAGTATTTACCTTTTTCTACAACATTTTTATTACTGTGAACTTAGTTTTTAACTGAAACGAAGAAAACTGTACTTTATTTTAATTACTAGGATTTAATTGTGCTAAATAGCTACAATAAAATATTTATCAAAGGATTTTTACACGCTTATTACTGTGCATTTGTATTTTAGCTAAAATAAAAATTCTGCACTTTTTTCCAATGATAGGACTTAAGTATGGCTTATATTTTGCTTAGTGTAAGAAGCAAATGAAAATCTTACCTTTTATATAATGAATGATAGCATACAATAAGTAAACTGGTATGACTATTAAAAGCTTTTTACTGATTTGTAAACATGAAAACGAATAAATTAAATAATTATTATGCATTTAAAATGTTTCATTGTTATATGTTCTCAAATACTGCTTGTTGGTAAACTGTTATATTAGTATTATTAGCAGACTACTTCCAAAAAAATCCAAAAAAATCTACAATTCCAAAAAAATCTACATCCATAAAAATCCAAAAAAATCTACATCCATAAAAATCCAAAAAAATCTACAACCACAAGAGTTAAATTACTACAAACACACCTACAGATATATTGATGACCTTATTACAATTAATAATTTTGGTAAAATTGAACACTCCGAGATTTATCCGAATTGTCTTACACTTAATAAAACTAATAATTCACAAAATAGCATAGACTTTCTAGATCTTCAAATCATTAACTACAAAAAAATTATACTTTTTGACAAAACAAGAAACTTCAATTTCAATACTAACAAATTAATAAATTGGAACTCCAACATATCCAAAAAAGTAATTAACAATACTATAATTAATCAAATACAACGAATTAAAACTATATGCACAGATACAATAGATTTACAACGCGAAATTTTGATCCTTATCAAAATTCTCAAAAATAATCTAATTCCCTTTCAATTTATCAACCATTGCCTTAAAAGAGCAGGCGTTAAATACTCACTCTAAATCATTTAACTGATAGGGATATAATAATTTATTCCTAAACCTGAGAAGGCGGTATAAGTTGGATGACTGTCAGTTGGAAGATTTGTATATAGTGTAATTACTCAATTGTATATATTGTAAAAAGCTAATTGTCTTCAAACATATACTGTTACTATACTGTTACTAAAAAAATGGGCCTATTTCATGCCTTTAGACTGTCTATTAGCTCTTGGACAGTGAAAATGCCTTTTCCTTTCTTAAATTCTTAATCATTACGACACGACAATTAGCCAGAAATTAATTAATTTCCATTCACTAGTATTTTCAAAAAAATCTTAACAGACGGTCTCTCTCAGATAAGAACTCCACAAGATACATCCCTCAAGAATTCCAAGTCCCACCCACTACCATAAATTACTTCACCCAAGTCTTACCGACTGATATTATTCAAAGCCCCTACTGCCGCTAAGAATTTTCGGACACCCTACCCTTCTGAGTCAGACACGAAGAGAACACTTTGCCAACTCCCCCACTAGAAAGAATGTAAGTTACTTAATACCTTTTCTGGCCTTTATATCTTCGTGTACATTCACTGATCTTATTTATATTATTTTCTATATTATTTTTATATTTTCTTTGATTTATTTTTACAAAGTTTGCATTATTTATCTTTTTTATAATCTTCTATGTTTATTTCAACTTTACTTTGAATTCGATTTCATAATGACAATTTCCAATGTTTAATTTCTACAAATAATATAGTACTCAAATGCATAAACATGAAAGTGTCGGGGACGGTTACTCGAGTTTTATTGGATTTCTCTACAGTAATTGATTTTTACTCCAAATTGAATTGACTAAAATGCTTCATAAGAATAAGTTCTTTGAGTATTAACATTGGTTCATAATTCCTACTATTCGCGGAAATATTTGGCCTGACTAGAATTGCCGGTTTGGCTTTAACTTATAACTCGAGTAAAGACGAAACACTTTCGTATTTAGGTATTTTTATCAATTATTGTTCATTGAACGGGAGTTGGTTTGTTCCCCTTGAAAAGTCAACTAATTTCCGATCAATGACAATGATTACATGTTTTAATTTAAATTTTTCCTTTTACAATTGAAATATTATTCTTCGTGATGATTTAACTCCAGTCCCCGTTAAAACATTATTAACACTTTGCTTTCAAATTACTTCAAAACATCTTTCAAAATATAACTTACCAGTATGGATGCACACTTTTAAAATAATTCTACTTTAATTAAACTTAGGAGATAATATAATTAATTAATCAATACTGTTTAGGAAATAAATTATTATTAACTAACTTTGCAGCAATTGCGCAAGTAATAATAACTTGAATTCGCACTAAATGGATTTAAGATCATACAACATTATATATATATATATATATATATATATATAAATCATATATATATCATTTATATATATATATATAAATCAAGACAGAATCATGTCTATAGCTGTAAAAGTACTATTTTATTATCGTATGATTACCAATCTCCTACTTTTCCGCAAACAGACAACTCGTATAACTTTTACGGAAAAAAGAATGGGACATTTGTTTCATAGCTTAACACGCTGTTTAAAAATTCAAAAATGTTATAAAGAGTCATTAAATGAAAGGAATATATTTTTATTTTGATACTTGAAATTCAAAATAGAATAAAATTAAAAGCTCATATCATTTTTATAACATGGTCTTCTCATTTAATTTTATGAACATAATAAATACAATTTTTAGAGTGAAAGATTTTGAACAGGAATATTTCGTATGGCACTTAAAATAATTTCTGCACCTGCTTCTGCTAGAACTGCATTGTGGTGCACATGCAAAAAAAAAAAAAAAAAAAAAAAAAAAAAAAAAGCAAAGATTAAAACAGAATTGTGTCTACCCTAAAGCTTTTTGTTAAAAACAAGTATGCAACTTTTATTTATTATGAGTTAAAGATTGATACAACACAAGAAATCTGTAAGTTTCGACATTTAGGTGTTAATTTTTCTCAAGTATTAAAAAATATTCTTTTAGTATTTTACAAAGTATACAAAAGGAGTCAGACAAATGATTGACAAAACAAGTTCTGGAATAAAATAATTCCTTTTTATATGTTACACAGTTATATACTTTTAAAAATATAAATTTTAAATTACAGCATTAAAATTAATTAGAAAGAAAAAATGCAAAGTATTTCCTAATTTTCAAACTGAATAGTAATACACAGTTGCATATTTTTAAAGAAAGATATCAAGACTACTATTTTACGCTTTTTAAAACATATCAAAATATAAAACAGGTAATAAGTCTGTTTTGTACATCTATAAAATATTTTAGTCTTCCATTTCAGAAACCTTAACTTATAAATTTAACATTAATTTTCTTTTAATGCAGATAACACGTGACTATGAAAGTGAAAGGGGTTCTCAAATTAGAAGACATTTGGGAAGCATGGTGGAAAGATGGAACAATTCTTATAAGTGTATATTGATATCTGAGAAAAAGATAGAGTAAAAAAATCATTTACACAGACATTTCTTACTTATCTGTAATGTTATAGACAATAAGAATGCTAATTTTTTCCAAGAAAACTGGGAATTGAAGACATACTTTATTTTATCTAAATTTCGAAAAATCTTTTTAAAACATATTTTGTTTTAAATTTTATGAAAAATCTCAAAAGAAAATTAACAACTGCTAGATAAAATATTTAAGCAGTGAAATAACAATTAATAATAATACTTTTAGAGAGTTAATGGGAAAACTCTATTAGCATTTTTTTCTGAAAAATTAACAGAATATAAATGCAGAACTCAAATTTTCATTAACTTGGTCCCAACTACAATGTATTATGCATTTCTGTCTTGTTTGGGTTTCAGTACCTTGATCAAGTGGAAAATATTTTAAAACATGGTAGATGAAAACTCAAGAATTAAGAGAAGAATCGTTAGAATCTATTTTTGGCATTCCCACAAACTTCAAGCTCGAGAACCCCGGAATTTAAATTCATTTTAATTGGTTGATAAAGTCCACTCATTCGAATAAAAAAAAGTCTTATAGTTCCATTTCGAAACAGCTATCCTTATGGAAATAAGTTGTCCTCGCAAAAATTGCTGGTTGGATAGATTATATAAGCTTGAGATTTAAAAATTAATTTACTAATAAAGAAGCACACATACAGCATGAGTAAGAGATAAATGCAAGCATGCAGAACTTGCTTATGTGGATGGCGCTTTCATATATTAATGTTGATTATTAGGAAGTGTCAGAAATTCGGCAGCAAATATTAAAATTCAAGGTTCAGTATTAGTGAAGGAAACATTCTCCAGTTTATATTAGTTTTCAGAGGATCTTTGTACGAAACGAAGTTGTAGCACCAACAGTAGCAGGTAAAAAATAAAAATTATACTGCAAAGCTGAACACACAGCACAGCCACCCATATTACAATTAGCAGCAATATTTAGTGATAGACATGTTCTCAGATGTTCCTGGAAATCCGAGCACAGTCAAAGCTAGACCTCTAAGGCTGAAGGTGTAGGATTTACATGAGCTTCTGCTTAGCACATTCAGGGCACAATATATCAGGACCGTCAGTGATGAAGCCTTTGCCCACCAGAGAGGCTTTACACATAGCACAGATAAAGCAATCATTATGCCAAGTACGATCTTCGAAAGAGATGAAACGAGTGCCGCCGATACCTAAAAAATACAAAAAATAATCATTAGCATTAATTCAGAATGAAAATTAATATATGTCCCTGAATAAAAGAACACAAGATAAAAACTCTCAAGTGGTGCATATTTCAGCCTACATCCAAAAATATTGAGCATAAATGATTTTCTATGGAAATCTTCATTCGTTACAGATGCTATGCTCTGTTAATATACTTTTAAATCAGCAAAGAATCAGGTACTCAGAATAAGCACTTTAATTCTTTTATAGATGCGACTTTAAAACTAGAATTACTGATCTAGAGCGGTTATTTATCGAAATCCATCAAATATTTTCAAAGCTTATGAATGTAGAGATGTTACATGTCTATCCACGCAGTTTCTTGGATCGTTTGACGAATACTCTGCAATTTTTATTTAGCGCAGACACGCTTAAATAAATAAGAATGAGATGCAGAACTTGACCACAAAATCTTGTGCAAATGTAATTAGGGAAATCTGTGTCTCGTATGCAGAAAATATCTTCCGACAAAGAATGAGGGTCATAAATTTTCTTAAAAAAAGTGAAACAAATGCGAGACATATTGTGAAAGTAGGAATTCATTCTTGTAGCGAAATTCGAATCATTTAGTTTCAATGAGATCTTAGGCTGAAGAACAACGTACTTTTACTGTGAAAGAATTTTTAAAGAAAACGTGAACTACGTGATTCACTATGTATAAAGTTATAAGGTATTTCTCCCACTTCCCTAGCGTGCCTTCGTGGTGTAACGGTAGCACCCTGGGGCGGTATTCCAGAGGTCCGTGGTTCGATTCCCGGCGAAGACGGTTGCATATTTTTCATCTTTTCTGCTTCCAATTAACCTAATGACTCTACAAGGGGCGCCGGAACTAAAAGGGTTGTGGATGATGATTCTCCGCACCCAGGATTTGGCGACTAGGTCTCCTAAAACCCTAGTCGCCCTTAAAAAAGGGGATTATATAAGGTATTTCTCCCACTTCCCTAGCGTGCCTTCGTGGTGTAACGGTAGCACGCTGGGCCGGTTTTCCAGAGGTCTGTGGTTCGATTCCCGGCGAAGGCAGTTGCATACTTTTCATCTCTCTGGCTTCTAAAAATAATCCTAATGACTATACAAAGAGAGCAGAAAGTTTGAAATTTATAGAGGTACTTTTCCGCCAGGCCATTTTGTTGAGACATGAATGAATTTAATAGCTTGGTAATGGAAATATCTCAATATGAGAGCATCTTGTGGCGAACAAGTACGTTCTTTGTTTGATTCCTTTCTTTGAATTTATTTCAAATCCATAGACTTTAGTGAAGTATCCCTCCCAATTTAACAGCCGAAATACCAATTTAACAAGAAGCTGATTTCCGATGTAGATGTGTAAAAACGCAATGCATAAGCATGAAACAGACCACGTATCGAATAATTGTTAAACAATTCGATACGTGGTCGAATAATTGTTAAAAATAAATTAAGTGAAGAATTTATGCTCATGACACTTTCAGAATCACCCGATCATGGATACAAACTGTATTATTCACAGTAAATTTGTTTCGCAGTCCAACGCTACAACAAAGCATACCTGTTTATAGCAGAATTAAACGAACTACAATTATTCTGAAAATAATGTGTAATAATACTAGGTATAATTCCATCAAGACCTGTAGATTGTTGCAAGGTGAATAAAAGAGGCAGTGAAAGTAAGTTTGGAAAACACATACAGATGATCGGTTAGTAGTTGTAATAAATATTTATTGGTTTAATCCAGTTTCTGTTTAATGATATTTAAGCATAGGTAATCTAAATATCCACCACCTATACGCAATGGCAGCGTGGAGTTTCCTATTTTTAACGTCAGGAAAACTCATAAACATATGTCGAAAACAGCGCTTAACAGAAAACTCACTCCTCTCTATTCACACATAAATGAAGAAAGAAAATGCTTATTAAACGGTTCACTCCACTCTATCTCACATATAAATATTGAAAAAAAAAAACCCTACTTAGATAATCACATTTTTAACTAAGAGCATTTTATATTCTACAAACACTTGTAATAAGTTGGATTTTGTGTCCAGAAGCTTTCGTGTAATCCTATTCTGAAAAAAGGGGAAAAATTCTTTTATATAATTTGTATGACATTTAACTATAGGACTGCAAGACTTGCTCTTTTAAAAAATGAACACTCAATCCCAAGCGCTACACATTAGGCCAATCTCTAGTTGAATGCATATGACATATCGAATTAAAGATAGCCAAAAATGAAATATTTCTTTAGAGTCAAGTACAGTTACCATTTTTAAGTATGCGGATTCAAAACAATCTGGTCTATTCATTCGAAGAGTTATTTTTCGACAAATACATCGGAAAAGATTTTGGAGCTTCACAAATTTGAAAAGCCTATCAGGATACTCATAAAGTTTACAAACATCACAAAACTTGTGCATGCCTGAAATGCATATAATGTATGTAGATACATGTCTATATACGAGTATTATCATTTACTGCTATAAAATAAGCACACATTTGGTATAAAATGTTAAAACACGTTACGATGTTAGCACACCACAACTATATACTTAATACGGCGCCATTACCAGACACATACGAATACAGACGGTTTAGTCTATATGAAGTCCTGAGACAGTCCAAGTGAATAAATAGTCTCTTAGAAATGTAAACAGATATGTATCAGCAATAAATGAACTTAAGACATGTTTTCCTACTAACTTAATTTGGAAGGCACATGCTTCGGCTAATATTGTAGTGAGCTCAGATAAGTGAATCAAGTTCAAATGTGTAAAATTGCAATGACGAGAGAAAAAAAAAATCAGTTACAAATTTTGCCAGCATAATGTAATTACTGTGAATTACCACCCAGAAACGGACAATATTTACTGATTTTATATCATCCGAAGTTAAATGCGCAATCAGTTCACAAATATTATTCAAAAGTTATTAATTATTTACGCTTTCGTGAGATAAATCATAGATAAACTTCTATGTGCAGCACTTGAACATATGCGTATTAAGACGACAAGCGACATAAGCTTAGTTGTGAGAACATTGACATCTTATCAAACTATCTCAAATCTTTTAACCATAAATCAACCACAAAATACAAAAACAATGAATCTGTTAGGCTGTTTCTATCAGGGAAATGAATTCCAGAATCAGTTTATAACCGATGAAGTTGTAGGGTCAGTAGGGTTATTAGGTTTTTTTCGAAACAGAAGACGTGAGAAATGTGCAATGCCCTTGCCGGGATTCGAACTTTGGACATCCGATTAAACGTCGACCTGCTTCCAGTTATACTATGAAGGCAAGCAGAAAGGAGGAAGAAAATACCTTTTATAAAACCTTCCCCCCTTTTAAAGAAGACTGGAAATGAAGGGACCCAATCGCCAAATAATGGTGGTGACAGATTATCATCCACCACCTTTAAATTCGGACATCACTGTAGAGGTTTTTTTTTTTTTAATATTTTTTAAAGAATTTTTCGAAGCAAAGAAATTGAAGGAATTCGCATTTCCCTTGCTGGGATTTGAACACATAACCTGGAGGTCAAGAGACCTCCAGGTTATGTGCCGCACGTGCTTTCACTTACACTGCTAAGGAACGCAGAAAGGAGTTAGATAATACCTTACAAAGCATAATTTTAAATTATTGCGATTTAGAGCATTTCTCGATGTTGATTCACTCTTATTAGCTTATTTTGTATGATTATATTTGATCACACTTTTCTATTTATAGTCGTTTTAGAGCGAGGTCGATAAGTTTCCTAATTTTCAGTTAAGGACATGCAGTCCTTTTACATTATCGGACATATACACTTTGCGAGACAGACTTAATGCGCACATTTTGAGATTATTCATTCAGCAATAAATTTGGGGGGAAGGGGGTACGCGTTAATTCTTTTAGAAGCCTTGTAATACAAAAAGAAAAGTACCACACATTGGATTGGTGATGAAATTAATAAAGGTATTCACAAGATTTTCATTTTGTGCTTCTGTTTCATAGTATGCCTACAGAAATATCGGGTAACATTTCTCAATGTATTCTCAGTTTCTGCTGAAAAACTAAGTCTCAGAAATTTAGAAAAAATATGAGTAAGTCACGAGAGAAAACTGTTACTTGAAAAAATTTATTATTTTCTATTGCAAGTGCAATTTCAGATTTGGAAGATATGTTACGTATTTTGCTGTGACAAAAGCAAAATTTAGAAGGTTAACAACTCATAAAAAATGTAACAATAATACAACTAGAAATTTTCAGTTCTGTTTGCTAACATTTCGAAAATTACCAATGCGAGCTCAGGATGGTATACCTAAAACTCGCAGTTTTCTTGCTAGTAAAAAGTGAAAATCTTCTAACTTTAGCAGTGTGATTGTTTTTAAAATGTATGTCACTGAGACGGTGCAGGGCAATTGAAACTTGAAAAAAGGTTTGGTTTGGTTTTGGTTTATTGAGATTACGGCAAAGTACACTAGAGCTATCTGCCTAAGGGGAGGGATGCCTTCGTGGAGGACCTTCTAAGGAAAACTGGCTCGTATACACGTTACACATGGGGAAAACCACGAAAACTCCCATGCAGCTAGCCCGTTCGCGGGATTCGAACCTCGGACCGAACTACCAGCGTGCAGCGATTTTACCGCTCGGCCGCTGGTGGGCTGAAACTTGAAAAGGAGGTGTTTCCTTTAAATTTCTTTTAGGAAAGACTTATTCCTGACCATCAGGAATCGATGTTTCGATAGGCACTTGATTATAGCCTTAATTGCTAGAATCCGCGTCTTTCTATTAATACCAAGTTATTACTCATTTAAATAAATCCATTCTGCGTCCCATGAATCTTTTATACCTGTCCGTATTCATGTAGAACCAACAGGAAGCAATTGCAAACTGCCCAGAATAATATAATACGGCAAATAAATTAATCTCCCCTGGTACATACGAAACAATGTAATTCATAAGGAATTTAAAAATGTTCAATTAAGAACCCATTATTATCACCTAGCCAAAAGAT